TTTTTTTTTTTTTTTTTTTTTTTTTTTTTTTTTTTTTTTTTTTTTTTTCTCTCTTTTAATCGTTGCCTTTTTTTCCAACTCAAAACATCACTGTATGATGGAATCTCTCCGCGTGTGATGGAAAATCACTGGAAATTCAAAAATCCATTTTGACGATCTACGCAATAAGTATTGAGAGAGAGAGAGAGTAACGAGGGACAAGAGAAAAGATAACACGAAATGACAATTACACAATACGCTTTGGCGAAGACGCACAACTGAACGTTACACCCGATTTTGTACAAATTTACAATAATAGTAGACCAAGCATTACTCAATTTAAAACTATTTGACAAACAAAAAAGTATACTGAGAAAACACACAGTAGCACTTGGAGCTTTGCTCGATAATGGAGCTTCTCTGTGTTCGAAACGCGCGTGGTTTTCTTCATTGGCGCGGCTCTGGCACTTAAATGGTGAGAAAAAAAAAAAAAAAGGTTATCAGTGTGGGTCGTCTGTTTTTACTCTTGAGAGAGCAGAGCAAACGTACAATATACACGCGTATAATATATTTGTTACGCGTACATGTACGTACATGTGTGTATGTGGATGTGTGACAATTTAAGTACAGAGCAATTCAGAGAAATAGAGGGAGACGGAGGGCAAAATGCAGCGCTTTTGTTGCAATTGATCGTTTTGTGGCACTTTATGTACGAGCTTAAAATTACTTTTTTCGTCTCTAAGGGCTGATTTTTTTTTTTTTTTTTTTTTTTTTTCACCGGTTTTTAGCACGAATTAAGTATAAAATTTAGTTTTTCTAATATAAATTGATAAGTAAATTTTTCAGTTCATCATAAAAGTGACAATTTTTTTTTTTTTTTTTTTTTTTTTTTTTTTTTTTTTTTTTTTTTTTTCTTACTCAAGGAAAAGCCGATGCTTAACGTCTTTTAATTGTTTCTCCGTCTCAATTGCTTGTCAAGCGCAACCTTGATTTCAAATTATTGNTTTTTTTTTTTTTTTTTTTTTTTTTTTCACCGGTTTTTAGCACGAATTAAGTATAAAATTTAGTTTTTCTAATATAAATTGATAAGTAAATTTTTCAGTTCATCATAAAAGTGACAAGTATTGTATTAATATATAATCATACACAAGCTTACTCGATTGCTCCAAAATTTTAGTTATTTTTGCGTTTGTTTATACAGTTTTAGAATTGAAAAATAACTACGAATTCAGATCACTTAGACCATTGCTCCGACCTGTAATACATAAGTTATGAAGAGTTTTATCTAAAAAACAATTCGAATCACAATGAAGTGTATAAACTGTAATGTACGTTGTTTCTCAAAATTAATTTGTGCTTCGTAAACATTATTCTTAATTATAGATACATCCATGTTTTTTCTGACTAATTGTACCCAAAATATATCGATAACATTTTGTTCATGTACGCAACGTGATTGTGAATGGAGATAAAATTGTACACTTTACAATTAACGATACGTATACACATATAATCGTATTCTACGAACGCGATGCGAAAAAAAAAAAGGTATTCTCTTGTTTCTGGGACTGCGAGTGCAATTTTCAAGCACAGAAACAGCCGCAAGTTGCGGAGCATCGGTCAAGCTCCATTGGCGGTTTTCACTGTTAGTTCTTGAAATGAGACAGAGACGCTCTCACTGTCATGTGGATTATATAATATACAGATGGTGAAAAAAAAAAAAAAAAAAAGAGTCAATTGAGAGATCAGAGATAATACGAACAAATACGCACATCCAATTGTCACTAGAGAACAATCCTGGAAAATATATACTCTACTGGTTGATGATCGGTATAATATTTTTTGTATGAGCCTCGACCGTTTTATTATATTGTTACCAGTGCCTCATAATTAGAATAATTTTTTGTTGCTTTTATAAAACATTTGTATTAAAATTTCATGTATTTCATTCTAACGAATACCACCAGCAATGTTGAAATTATTTGACTTCTTGTAGCAATCGTTAAAAAATCCGCTTTATTTGATTTCATCGGGGGGGATACTGAAATTTTTATATGATTTTCAACTTCAAGGTCACGTAAACAGTGTAATAGTTATTGGGTTATTGCGTGCCTTAGCTGTTTTTCCATGTCTTCATAGTCAAAAAGATATTCATAAAATAAGTATTTTAGGTGTATCTTGAAAATTAAATAAATTGTACATTCCGCGTCAAAAAAAAGATGCACACAAAGTCAAATGTTTTTTTTTTTACTAAACGACATAGTTTATATTATTTATTTACTCACCAATGGCGAGCTTCTCTCAAAAGTTAGTAAAATCGTTATAGTTGTCGGTGTTAAAGAAATTGAAAAAATCATTTAAAACAATAAATATACCACATGACACGTATAAAATAGTTATTTGGAAAACATGTAGTTTAAAGCAGTTGCTTCAATAAAAGGCTTTTGTTTCATTGTTTTCTTGCCCAATTCGTAACTGTACATACATGATCAAAGTGTCCCAATTTAGCGCCATAAATCGTGGCTCTCACTAATATAACAGCTGTCATATTCTAAAAAAAAAGATAACCGGCATTTTTTATACTCTACCAACTGTGTAATGTCCTCTTATTTCTTTGAAGGATGATTACAATGCCATTCAGAGTGACAAATCAATAAGAAATCGTAATCATGGTCTGAAAAATGTTTTTGTTGCATATACATGTGATTAGAATCAATCCAGCAGCACTTGTTATTGATTCGAGATTGATGACTCATCTTCTTCTAATATTCAAGTCACTCTTCTTTCGATCTGAATACGCACTCACACCTATTCATCCCGTACGAGCAGGTTTTCACGTTATTAATAGTATTGTGTTTTTTCTGTTATGTTGCTCATATAAGAATGTGTTTGTGTAAGTTTTATACATATGGATATTGCAAGTGATTTCTTCACTGTTGCGCCAAGTCTAAAATTCAATCGATCATTGCATACATAGACCAAATCATTGGTAAAAAAACAATATTTCTTTTGTCTCCCGTTTAACGAGATGAAGTGTTGAGAAAAACCAAGCGATCATTTAGTCTTAATTGTCTTCCCAATGCATACATCTCAAGTGCTAACTCGAACGTCTAATCCGTACAGATATACGAACTTGTACATATATGTATGGATCATTTCACGAAAAATCAAATTTATTTTAATGTGTGAAGTGTATAATTTTCAAAATTTTGAAGTATATAAACTGAAATACCTTCTCTCTTATTAGAAAATAAAATGAAATTCATAAAATGTGTGCAGGAATTTTAATGCTGTCAATTTATTGGAGCAATCATTAAAATTATTTCTCGCATAATGTTTTGCCACCTATAATAAGCACTTCACCATGTTTATGATTTTTTTGTATCATCTTGCCCCCCTGCCCGTCCCCCGAATAAGGAATAAATTTCATAAATAATGGATATTTAATTGTAAAAAAATTTTATTATTAATGATCATTAAGTAAATTAAACAGTCAACATTTTGTTAAACGAAAACAAAAAATGATAAAAGTATGATATAAAAACTTCAAGTCTGTGAAATCGCTATATGAGATGATAGGCGCTTGGGTTTTTAGTAAATAGGCAGTCAATGTCACGATAAAATTGCACAACATCATGGATGTATCACTTGAAATTGTCAACGATTTATTTACACGCTTATATAACTTTTCTAATTACAAATGTGTATATACATGTACTTTATGTGCTGTTTCATCCTCAATTGCTCGATTCGACATGGAAAAAAAAATCCAATCCTATAGCCAACGATCAACATCCACTGGGTATGACATTGCCAGATGTTCCGCCTCCCGGGTAACCGCCAGTGGGACCTTGTGCTCCCGGGTAACCACCAGTGGGACCTTGCGCTCCCGGGTAACTACCCACAGGACCTTGTCCGCCACCGATAGGTCTTTGGTTACCAGGATAGCCGGCAGGACTCTGTCCACCCCCACATGCACTACCTCCTGGACATTGGACTGCGGGGACACCACCGCCAATCGGGCCAACCAGACCCGCTTGACCCTGCGGATATGAACCTCCCACTGGACTTAGACCCAAATTGTCTCGAGCACCGCATGCAACGCGGTCTTGGAGTTTATAATCACACACATTTATTTTTTCGTTGAACTCAGTACCAGGACCTGTCAATAACAAACAGTAAACAAGATGATTTATTCATTTATTTTCATTTTTATTTATTTTCATCTTATTAAAATTCATTGAAGTTAGGGAATCACCGATCTCTTCATTCACGGAGAATTTTGACGCTCTTTGAGTAGAATGCGTTGCGGGGCAAATAGCTCCTCTAGATCTGTCGGTTGTATTACAGTCGGCAGAAACTACAACCAATATTGACAACGCTGAAAATTCTATATTTGAAGGTGAGTTTAATTACTTTTAATTATTTTCTCCATTCTTCTTCCAATGTTTCTTCTTCTTATTTTTTTTTTTAACATTATTTTTAACATTAATTAGAAAAAAANTTTTTTTATTTATTTTTTTTTTTTAAATAATAATAGTAATAAAAAGTCTCGTATTTTACCGCAATTGAAGACGAAACAGCCGCTGTAGTCGCACACTTGATACTTGGTACAGTCACCTGGCACAGGCAGTACATAGCTCTGAGATAAAAATGCCGATCAAGGATCAGTTTTACTTTTAGTAAAATTTGGATTTCACAAATGAAATTACTTTACTGGAATGAAAATCGGATACATAATCGTTACAACGTTACTTACACTGACTAGATCAGAGAAAAGAATGACGCTCGTCGCGATGCAAAGGTAAATTGAACCAGGTATCATTATTACAATAAAATTTTTACGAAGCGAAAAAAAAACAACTGTACAAGTTGGATTATTTGAGAAACTAATCAAAAGACTTGTGATCGGTGGAATCGGCTGACGTTGAATAAACATGCGCCGTTTTTCGTCTCGCGTTTTTAAGTGAGCTTCCCTCGCCAGTTTATCGCCAAAGCAAAAACATGTACATACAAACTGTGTGACGCAATTTTTTTTTCTCACATACTCGTGGTTAGCCGTAATCGTAAGTACATGCGAGATCAAAAGTGTTGTCGATAATCATCGTGTTTTCCCGACACTAATCGCTGTTTGACGCGTCTCGCAAATTTTCCCACCAAGTTTTATCTATTATGTCACGGAAGATGAGAGGATGAAAGAGTTTCAACGAAACAACAAATAATTATGGATGAAAATCAGAAATGTGAGTATACAGTATTTTTAGTGTTATGCAATGTTTGTTATAATAAATTAATTCAGTCGACAAACGACAAATTAAAGGTATACCTTGACAGCTTTGTTCATTCAGCCTCCTTTATATTGCTTTTCCATAGTTTGTAGAAGAAACGGTAGGGTTCCTTGGAATCGAGAGGTGGCGTCCTTAAGAGACGTAAAACAAAGGGTGAGTGCAACAAGTAAACCTCAAGAAGTCCATACAAGCTATGAGTTAGCCAGTAAATATTGATAGCCTGTAAAATGAGTGATATGAATGTTAGAAATGATAAGGATGACAAATCATGAAATTTCATGATTTTTGAGTAAAAGATACTTGCAGCAGGTGCTGAAACCATCATTGGAACCATCAACATATTACCAAACTGGCAAGTAATATACGTAATTCCCATTTTAAATGAATAGCAATTTGGATGAAATAGTCTATGAGCCTGGAATCATTAGTTTTACATGTGTTGAAATTCAAAAATTATACTTTATTGATATTCATGGGCTATGCTAGAAATTCACCTGAATAATAAATATGTTTGTAAAACACACGAAAAACGGTAAAATCGAGTATGGATCAACAACTGTTAGATCTGTAATCCATCCAAAACCATCAAAACTCATTTCTCTGTAAATCTCTTGAGCACCTGCGTTATACAAATAAATACATTTATTAACATAGAATATTGACACTCGGTAAATGTAAGTATTTACACATACCATCAGATAATGGCAGAGCATGGCATAAGTTTCTGATTGCTAGGGAAGTGTAGAGCCAAATGCCTGCTTCAGCCATCACAAGAAAGTGTACTTTGTTGGGATGAATTTTGTTTTTCTTATACAGTTCTTTTTCTTTTAGATTAACCTATGTAGGAATTATTCGTTAGTGTGTAAAATTTTCTTAATTGTACAGTTAAGATCAGACTTAACACGATGAAAAATGCTTACATGGTATGTATATTTTTGCGCAAATAATTCATCTGGCCAACCATAGTGACGTTTATACTCTTTGTACTCTGTTTTTAATTTTTTCTTGTAGTCGTTCATGTCGTTCTCCATTCTTTGCAGTTTTGCTTTGTTTCTCATCTATGACAAAATTATTATTCTCACACTTAAAATAGCCATGATATATACTTAATTTCAAAGAAAACACAAGATAGTCTTGATGTATCAAAAAAATCTGTAAAATCTAGGTAAATTAAGAGACAATTTCAAATTGATACCTGATTGACAGCCAATGGAAGTATCAAAGTTGTTCTGATAAGAATGGTAGAAAGGATTATGGTAGCCCACCAAGGCAGACCCATTTCTTGATGCAGTAGTACAAGTATATCTTGCACAAATACTACGGATTTGCTTTGAGCAAATTCAACAAGAAATTCGGGACATTCAAACGCGTCCGTAATTATACTCTCATCTTTTTCAAGTATACCAGCAAAGTCAGGCTTAACGGGATCTGTACTTTCCATTGGGGCTCTATTCTGTTTATTCTTAGGAATATTTATAACAATGTCTTCATTCGATATGTATCTTTTTTGGAAATCCATGTACAGAGGCACTGCTGGTTCAACTCTCAAGTCTTTTCGTCGTAATTGCTTAGAAAAAAGGGTGTACGAAGAATCATTTTTGTATTTATGATGAAAATTCACTGTGTAATGAGCAGCACCGCATCTGATGACGTTATGCTGCAAAATTAGTAAAGAGCGGCTGTGCTGTACGCTTCGTCTCAAAAATTTATTAAAAATCTGGAGATTCATCGTCGCTTTTGAACAAAATGTCTTTATACTTATTATTTATCCTAACAAAATAAACTTTTCTTCCCACACTAATTTTTTGTTCATGTTTCTTGAGGTTAACACTGGAGCAGAAGAGAATAATGCTGTGCACAACAATTTCTTAAGAAACGTGTACCGGAGAGTTATGAGATAAGATGGTCAGATAATTGCCGCATATTCTTTTAACTGGTTTTATCTATCTATCTGTACACACAAAACAAAGTTCTTGTCAAAAGTTGCTTAAATTAATTACTGAATTTATCTCGATGTAAATACACTAATTTATGTATTTGTCGTACAACTGTTTAACTATAATTTATGCGTAAATTTTGTCAGTGAATGTATGTATAATTTTTTTTTTTTTTTTTTTTTTTTTAAGTTTCAAGAACGGATGTAAACTATAAGTAATACCGATCACAAAAAAAAGCTCGCATTCAGAGTGATGTCATATGATTACCTAGCAATGCTAAGTATAATGACGATGTTTTGAACGCGATGTATAGAATAATTCCAAGCCACAGAGAGTCTTGAGAGAGTCTGAGTAAAATCGAATCTCCCGGCAACAATAACAACAGTGGCATTCGAAAGAGTGTCAATTATTTATTAACAGGTTACATGATTGTTGTACAGTATAATTACAAAAGGTGCTTTTTTTCTTATTTCGAGCTAAGTACACCCATTTCATGTGTGACATGTAATTGACGTGTTTCTCCTGGATGCTTTGATCTATAGATATAGTATGCTATGTTATATTCTTCACTGCAATTGATGATTTTCTCGATCTGTACGATCGGTTTGTCTGTCGCACAGACCTTTTATACTATACCCTACATTCTTAGAGTTGATTCGCGCTATACACAACATGTTACTATTTTGTATATACACACACCTATGATCCCTCATCGAGGCATGGCCTTATGAATCTTGAGTTTTTTTTTATTTTTTATTAAGTATGTTCATTTTTAACGACTTTACTGAACATTTTGTACTTTTTTGTTTAGAATAAACTGTCACATAAAATAATTTAGATAAAATGCTATTGAATAAAGTTAGAAATAATTTTAGCCGTATTAATTACGCAATAGATATTCTAGCGAGATCAAGTACTCACGTTCAATCTTAGTTTTTTTTTTTTTTTTTTTTTTTTTTTTTTTTTTTTTTTCTTACTCAAGGAAAAGCCGATGCTTAACGTCTTTTAATTGTTTCTCCGTCTCAATTGCTTGTCAAGCGCAACCTTGATTTCAAATTATTGTAAAAAAAACGATATGGATGTTTCGGCTCTCCTTCTGCGATTGGCACTCCGATCAAACGTTTAAAACGAGGCGAACGGAATAAGAACGTCTGGAAAAGCCCGAAAGAGCTGCTGCTTACCCAATAAATCAGTGTCCCCTAGAAATTAATTTAAATTATTATTTATAATATTTTCTTAACTGCCTGAAAAATAACTTAATTGGTTAAACAAGTTATTTTTACCGTGGGCATAAACATGGCGATTGGAAACAACAATACGCTTACACCTCTAAAGATTATGCGCTGTATTTTTTGAAGTCTTGTTAATGCAGTGGGATCGATAAACATTAAATTCGCCTTAAAATGAAATTAATTATATAATTGCTGTAATTCAAAGGCATGATTAAATAGTAACGTGTAAATGTCTTACTTCGATGACGGCTAGATTCATAATTGCATAAGCAAGCGGAAGTATCATGTACCGATCATTTACAGTAAGATCTTGTATCCATCCAAAACCTCCAACCGTCATTTCGTAGTAAGCAAATTGTGATACTAAATTGTTAAAATATTTATTAAAATTTTTATTCCTTTGCAGCTGTCTCATATTATGAAATACTCATTGTAATACATACTAGGATCATCTCTAGGAATCATGAAACTTAGATTTCTTGTAGCAAATGAAAATGAAAACCAAATTGGAAGTTGTATCAACAAAAGAACATACGATTTGAGAGGATGGCAATTATATTCTACAATTAGTTTGTCGTATTCCGTTTTTACCTAAGAGAAACATTAAATTATCCTCATAAAAATTGACATTTGTTTTATAGAACAAATTTTTTAACAACTCACATCTTTACGATATTTTATTCTGGCCATACTTTCTGTCCAGCCGTGGAAAGACACAGCATGGTTTGCTTCTCTTTTACAATTTTTAATGATTTCTTCTAGTTCTGGTTTGATAAGCATCAATTTTGCACTGTTACGTGTCTTAAAACATGAAAAATTAATTCTTATTAAATACAGATCAATTAATTAATAGTAAATTAATCCAACAACATGAAACCTGCACAATAGAAAAAGGTAAAGTGATGACTGTTCTCATCATGTAAGCTGTCAATGCAATTGATGCCCACCATGGTAGTCCAGTAGCTTCATGTATTTTTAAAAGTATTTGCTGAGCAACTTCAACAATTTTCGACTCTGAAAAAGTTCTGATAAATTCTGGACAATTGTCTTTTGGAAGGTTGGTGGCTGTCTCTATAAAAGGCAGATCTGTCAATTTTTCTACAATTTGTTGGGCACTGGTATCACTTGACAACTTTCTCTTTTGGAAATCAAAATACAATAAAACTGATCCATTTTGTAAGTTTTTTTGTAAAGTATATTTAGAAAATCCCAGACCAGAATATTGGTTTTTCTTTTTGTAATCATAAGAAACTGTGTGATACTTATTTTTATTTATACTTTGTTGTCTTGTATTATAATAATAGTTGAACGACAAAGTTTGTTTCATAAACTTATTTACGATTTTTTGATTCATTTTATCAATTAAAATAAATGTTTAATATACTACTTTCAACTGAGAGCACATCATTGTTTACAAAAGAACAAAATGCCGCTATCAGTTAGAACTATAGTGGAGCTTTCAGTTACAACCAAAAGCAGACGACAGTGTACTACACTAGCGTATATTATGGGTATATGTGTTTGTGTTTGCTTATATAAAATATGCATTTGCGCTTTGCGCGCTATATCGATAATTAGTATCGATTACACTGAATACACTCTGCCTATCCTTAATACCGATATAAAGTATATATCGACGGCTCTTACGAAAAACAACAGAACTCAGATTTTCCCTTTTGAAATAACATTGGAATTTCTGAGTTCCGTTGTTTTTCGTAAGAGCCGTCGATTACACACATATACACTAAATCATGTATCCAAGCATTTAAAGTACCGACACCACGTGAAATACCGATCATCGGTACGACAGAAATCTTATCAGGAGCCAGAGCCCTGCCAGGAATTGGTAATATGGACTGCCCTCATCGTCGACTGGCGATATAACAGGAATCTCTATTGTCGACAATCTGACGTCCATACACAATCAGAAATTGCTACAGCTGGACGTCAGAGTGCTTTCACGCGTGCCTCAGGCCGTGCTCCACGTTGCGGTCACAGTGCCGTCACGATGCTATCGGGGAAGATGTTTTAGCGGCGTTACCACCACGACCTACGTACTTAACTTTACAGCCTCTGATTTTATCATTCTGGTAGAGAGAACACGGTGTAAGATAAACGTGAAGTTATGTATAGTAATAATACTAAGTAATGCCATATGGTCGATTTTATTTTTCCATATGAATACCTATGTTTTTTGGGGGTCGAATTTTGGGTAGAAAAAATAGAATGTAAACTTGCCGCAAACAGCACAAACCACGTTAAATTTTTATTATCTATCTATAGAGTCAGTTGCGGCTGGTTTATAATTAACTAAATTGCTCTACTGTAAGTAGTAATAATTTTTTGGATCAGCGCCATCTAGCGTTGCGGATTTCTGAACTAAAAAGTGGCCCTAAACTTTTCAGCCAGAGCTTTAGCGCGTAGAGCCATTTAGTCACTTATAAACCAGCCGCAACTCATAATAAAACTATAAAATGAAAAAATAACGATACGTGTGTTTTTGGCGGCAAGTAAACAATCTATCTTTTACTCGAAAATTCATCATCGAAAGTATAAATACATATGAGGTCAATTTTTTGGTAGAAAATAGATTGTTAACTTGCCGCCAAAAACACACGTACTATTATTTTTTGATTTTATAGCTTCACCATAAGTTGCGGCTGGTTTATAATTGATTAAATGGCTCTAATCCTGATTGCTCAGATTCAGAATTTTAGGAGCCACTAATGGCCAAAAAATAAAGACCGCTAGATGGCGCTGATCCAATTAATTATTGCTATTTACAGTAAAGTCACTTTACTAGTTATAAACCAGCCGCAAATAATTTCACAAATAGACGATAAATATTTGACATTTTTTATACTACTTGCGGCAAGTTTACAACTTATTTTTTACTTTTAAATCTACCTACAAAACCATAAATATTCTACTTATCTCATATGGCTCATAAAATAGACAATATTTACAAAATTACAATACTCTAGACCTTTTACCATTAACTAATGAAAGAACAGCCCTTCAACTTTAGATTTTCAATAAACAGTTAACTTATATAATATGTACATAACAAAATTTGTGTTACAGAAATCGTATATCACGATCAAATATACACGTAAATTAATCAGTCGAAAAAAGACAACTGAAGAAAAAAGGTCTTAAAAAAGATTTCAGTAACACAGGAAGAGTCTCCTCAAAATGGAGCGTTGGATCTCACTTAATCAGAGAAGGTTGAGTTCTTTGTTTAATTATATTACTTAAAACTTACTTCTCTGTAATAAATGTATTTTTTATTTCGTGATATCCGATGCTCCATTCTTAGGAGACTCTTCCTGTGTCACTGAAATCTTTTTTAAGCCTTTTTTCTTCAGTTGTCTCTTTTCGACTGATTAATTTGTGCTTACATGAGTTAATGGTAAAAGGTCTAGAGTATTGTAATTTTGTAAATATTGTCTATTTTATGAGCCATATGAGATAAGTAGAATATTTATGGTTTTGTAGGTAGATTTAAAAGTAAAAAATAAGTTGTAAACTTGCCGCAAGTAGTATAAAAAATGTCAAATATTTATCGTCTATTTGTGAAATTATTTGCGGCTGGTTTATAACTAGTAAAGTGACTTTACTGTAAATAGCAATAATTAATTGGATCAGCGCCATCTAGCGGTCTTTATTTTTTGGCCATTAGTGGCTCCTAAAATTCTGAATCTGAGCAATCAGGATTAGAGCCATTTAATCAATTATAAACCAGCCGCAACTTATGGTGAAGCTATAAAATCAAAAAATAATAGTACGTGTGTTTTTGGCGGCAAGTTAACAATCTATTTTCTACCAAAAAATTGACCTCATATGTATTTATACTTTCGATGATGAATTTTCGAGTAAAAGATAGATTGTTTACTTGCCGCCAAAAACACACGTATCGTTATTTTTTCATTTTATAGTTTTATTATGAGTTGCGGCTGGTTTATAAGTGACTAAATGGCTCTACGCGCTAAAGCTCTGGCTGAAAAGTTTAGGGCCACTTTTTAGTTCAGAAATCCGCAACGCTAGATGGCGCTGATCCAAAAAATTATTACTACTTACAGTAGAGCAATTTAGTTAATTATAAACCAGCCGCAACTGACTCTATAGATAGATAATAAAAATTTAACGTGGTTTGTGCTGTTTGCGGCAAGTTTACATTCTATTTTTTCTACCCAAAATTCGACCCCCAAAAAACATAGGTATTCATATGGAAAAATAAAATCGACCATATGGCATTACTTAGTAGTAATTACTTTAATTACTACACATAACTTCACATACATCTTACACCGTGCTCTCTCTACCAGAATGATAAAATCAGAGGCTGTAAAGTTACGTAGGTCGTGGTGGTAACGCCGCTTGGGGTGTTTTCCGCAATCGTCACCAGCAAGTAATTTAAGGTTGCGCTCTACGTTACCGTCAGGTCGGTAAGTCAACTACCTTGAATTAAACTGGCGCTTTATTCCGTAATCTGGCCAGTTAAAACAGCAGACGTCGTGAAAGTCGAGAAAAAAGTGAAGATTTTATCGCTGTTGACTGTCGTCTGCTGTTTTTACTGGCCATGGCATCTGCAGATTACGGAACAGAGCGCCAGTCAATTCAAGGTAGTTGACTTACCGACCTGACGGTAACGTAGAGCGCAACCTTAAATTTTCTTAGTGAATTTTTTAGGAAGTGGATGTAGGGTCTAGATGAGTCGCTCTAATAGACCCTGCGCTACGGACACTAGCCTAGTGAATTTTACTATACTTAAATAATAGAACTTCGGCTAAAAAGTGTCTAAAAGAGTGAAAGCATCTACCTATGGTTTGAAAGTCACTGATAATTGGCTCCGCCATTTATGCTTAATCTTCTTGGTCCCTGACTGGTCCCTGAGACCCCGAACATTCTTATAGGTACTTTACCTTATTTGACGTTATGGTTGACGGTTGTCATTGTAAATTACATAGAGAATAGCGAATCTGACTTTCGTAGCGTGGTATATTTACTTACCATGTGTTACACACGGATAAGTACTCATTAATTACTCATCCATGATTTGACCCTATACGTTTACCTACCTACCTATACAAGTGCGCGTCTATTTGTTTTGATTGTCATTCCATTGCTGCGTACGTAACTGTGTTCTCTTAACTCATTTAATTATTTTTTTTTTCCTTGTACCTTTTTCTCTTTCGCTCTTGCTCTAAATATCCCCGTAAAAGTACGTCACGTGCAATCTCTTCTGTAGAAAATATTTGTCCACCTCGTATTATTGAACTGTTCTTTATCGGGCATATATCATAATATTACTTAGTGAGTATATATTATTATTGTAGTATTATGGTGTGTGTTTGAAGCTGGGAGTTGGTAAGTTGGTATATAGGGCATACATTTTACACACCGCGATGTTGGGTTGTGTGTTGGTGTGCGCAGAGAAGCTGCAGGCTGATGATTATTGGTCTGCTATCAATGACGGGCGTTGACTTTGAAAGAACATCGTTCAACAACATTTCAATGGCAATGTCATTAATGTCCAAAACTATTAGTTAGAAGATAGTTACTACAGTTTGTGAATATTAGTATTAAGTGGAATTCACGAAAACAGATTGCTCTGTACAGCTGCTAAAGATTTCAAAGATGACCTGAGTTTGCCAACAAGTCGGAGCAGCATCAACAGAAATTGACTCGGCTCCTCGTTAATGTCATAAACATGCTACAATCTCTGATTATTGATTATTTCTGGTGTTACTGGATAATCTCCATCGCAGCACTCTTTTCCTTCATTGGCCTTATTGTTGCCTGTATATGTAGCTGTCGACACAATGATAACAAGTAAGCATTTTCTACCTGCTGCAGACAAGTATTTACAACTTATTCTTCAGTTTTCCTTTTATGTCATTTATTATTAGTTTTGTTTTCGTTTAAATGTCTCTAAGTATTTGAAAATTTTTTACTTTTGTTTCAATAACTTTTTTGAATAAGCAGTTATATTTAAAAACTTTTTTACGTAAATAAATGTTTAAACACATGATAAAATGTATCCTACTATCCCTGCTCTGGATAACAAAAGATCCTATTATGACAGGAGTGAGTTTTTGGGGCTAGAGGGTATGGTTACAATAACTCATCCTGACAATGAAGAATTCAGCAGAATTGCAACATGTTCAGAAGCAGGGCAAACATATCCACAGGACACAGTTGATGGAGCTGGAAAAAGGTCTATAGTTCGAACCTGACGCATGGCTGCATGTGGAATCATACCCTTATTAATCAATCACTAACAGATTACATTAATTTACCTAGTCTATACATGATAGTTACTGTGATTTTTTTGAACAATTTATCCTTTTTTTTAGTATACCATTGCATATTTTTTTTTTAATTCATTACAAAAAAATACCATTGTAACTATCATATGGTTGGAAAAATAAATAAAGAAAAATTGGAACCAAATTACTTCTGTGTTGTAGAAAAATTTAGAAAATTCCATGCAATTTCAGGTTTTAAGGTTTTATCAATGATTTTTCCTTTGCAGTTTTCTATTGCTGTGGATATGGTGCTTTTAAAAATAATTTACTTTTAAAACGTTTTCTCTGCATATGAAATTTCTTTTAGTAGTCTACACTTTCTTGCACTTGGAAAATACTTTTTTTACATTTTTTGTATCCCTTAACTGATGTTTTTATTGATTTGCAACAGGAGCAACACTGCTAACAGGAGTTTGCCAGATATTCCAAAAGATAGAAATGCAGAATGTGAAGTTGATGTTGAATCAAGAGATGCAATTTACGAAGTAACAGAAAACATCAGTGGTGATCCATCTGACCTATATGCAACTGTTCAGGATAAAAGTGATTGTTTTTTTTCTAACATATTCTAAACTAAAATGAACTGCCAAAAAAATTGCAACTTTTTTGTACTTATTTATTACAGATAAAGAAAAAAAAGACAAAAGGGATAATCAAAGCATATCGCAACAAAGCTCTCAGGATGAAACTGCAAGTTTGTATGCTAGGCTCAAAACTCCACAAACTAGCACTGGTAATTGATTTATAATTTAAACTGAATCAGAGTATTTTCAAATAAATAACGGTACATATTTAATTTCAGAAGAACATCCATATGCACAAGTTCACAATGTTCCAAAGACTGAAAGCAATCAGCATCCTAGGTAAGCTGTAGCATAGTCAATAATTACTAACATAATCTTTTTTCCCAAATATTCCGAGTTCTTAAGTACATACTCTTTTGAATGAGCAGCACCAGCCACACAATCGATTTGGCACAACCTTCGACGAGTGGAGTATTACCAGTTGCTCCACCAAGAAGTCGTCGATCCTCATCGCACAATTCCCTACTAGAACAGCCGATGAGCGCTGATATACCGGCTGCTACTGCCATTACTGGTGGTGTTCAAGCCAACCAAGACTTGCCATACATGACACCACCCATACTGATGTCCCTACCTCAGCCTCCACAGCCAGAGAACAACAATTTGCAACAGCAACACTTTAGTGGCGATTCCCAAGATTCAAGTAAACAAATAACTGTTTTATTAACATGAAATATTTTATATTTGTTTTATAAAATACTACTCTCAATTTTCTTAATTTTAGAAGGCTACACGAGTATAAGCGTGAGGGAGCCATTAGCCAATATAATTGCGCAAACAAAAAGCGCTCAACAGCAAAGGCAAGCAACTCGGCGGATGACCGATCCTCACTATGCAACAGTATCCGACGATTCTGGTTGGTTTGATACTAAATAAAGTAAAGATATTTTTTAAGATACTTAAAACTAAGGGAACGAATGATTTTTAGACGAAATGTATGCTGCTATAGACGAGCAAGACAAGGTCTACACAAGTGGTAGTGAAACTTATGCTCAAATTCAACCAATGGCTGTTGAAATTAACAGACCTGCTCCAAGTGAAGTAGCAGGCATGCAAGGTACTTTGCGCACGGAGGATCTATACGCGTTAGTACCGCAACCGCCGAGTGTTGATAGTCTCAGGCATGTAGCCCACGCGCACTCGAGACAAGGTAATCAATTGAATTAGTTTAATCGTTGCAACGTCTGTCTCTCCACTTGTCTGTGATTATTCTCCTTCTTTTTCTTCGAGAGGTTGCGTATTATCTTGTAAATATGTGATATATGCTCATATATGTACATAAAAATTTTAATTTTTCATAGCTACTGTTGTGGAAGATAAAATAAAAAAAAAGTAAAAGAGAAAAAAATTTTTGACAATTTTTCTTCTTTATCAATTTACTGTCAAGTTTCATTCGTACGTTTTTTCATCATATTCGCCGTTATTATGATTATTGTTTATTGCTTTAAATTAATTTTATTAATCGTCACACATAATCACTTTCACGATACCTCTCAGCTGAATTCGTTCTTCTATCAAAATAATCATTAAATCTTTTTTTTTTCCATTATGCTTATTTTTCACATTTTTCCTTACACATTTTTCCCAAAACAGCATCATCATCGAGCGCAACGAGTTCAGTGACAAATCCAGGCTCGCCTAAGCCTGAAAAGCGACAGGCTAATTCGCCGTTACCTCCGCCTCCTGACAATCCCATGGACATGTACGCGATAGTCGACAAGCGCAATAAAACCGATGAACGCAAATCCCTGGAAGACATGTACGCCAAAGTGATTAAAAAGAAGCGTGACGTAAAAAATCACGAGGACAGCGAATCTGTCAGTAATAGCGTCAACAACAGTCCAAGCTCTATGGCCTTTGGCGTGGATGTAGCATCAACATCGAGAGGAGACGGAGTAACGTTGACGGCACGCCGGAAGCTCAGTTTGATCGAAATGAGCCGAGCCTCATGGTCCAGTCACGATTCCGTTGAAATCCTGAAACGTGAGTCCGACGTATCGATTCACGTTGTCAACGAACAGCAGTCCCAACAACAGCAACTCAGGGTGAATGGTGATATCTACAACGATGTATTCGACATGAACCACGATTACGCCGCAGTGATGGATAAGCGATTCAGTGACCCAGGTAGTGACGCCAATTATGAAACCTTGAGACCTTTGACTTTGAATTCCGCTGCAGGACCAGGCGCATCGAATCCTAGAAATGAAGTTGATACGATCCCCATTTATTCGCTGCCCTTCAAACCTCGACAGGTAAGCACGTTAAAATTGATTTGTTATAATTTTTACTTCATGCATGTATCCATTTTCTGTTTTTAGATAAGTAATGCGAGCAGTGAAGATCCAGGCTACGAGCGCGTACGTTTGCGTAAGAGAGGGGCTAGTAGTTGCTGTGAATATACAGACACGGATTCAGAGCCCAATTATGAAAGCATGCCACACGAGCCTGTAGAACCAAACTATGCCTCGGTAGCTGGCTGCCGAGGCGGGGCCCATGACAGTGACGCCGATCCAAATTATGAGAGCGTGAGCAACGGAGATCCAAACTACGAGAGCGTCAAGTATGAGATCATGAGCCTAGCGCAACAGCCGGTAAGTGAACCTCCTTACGAGAGACTGGCTGCTTACAAGGGCCATTATCACGACCCTGACTACGAGAGAATAGAATCGACGACAGCTGCTGTGGCTGGTAATAGTGTAGACACTGATGACGAGCAGTACGTACAGGTTTGATGATTGCGCTGGCCGTATACGCAACACCACCACTCGTGGATGCGAATACGGTGTTTACTCAAGAGGACGACCAAGTTCCAAGGTTCGTTTCAGTATTTAAAGTAAAAGAATGTTGGCGGTAGATATATGCGTATTTCGGGGATGACTGAAGCATTTTGAATTATATATTCTCGTAACAACAACAAAAGTTTATACCAGAGATAGTCAAAGTGGTATCATTTGACAAATTGAACACTGCGAGTTATAAAAACAACATCGTACAACAGTGTAGATTATTTTTGTACTTGATTGAATGAAATTCAAATGCCTTTAAAGGCTTTTTAAAGTAGCGGAAAAACAGTGCGTTTTTTATGATATTTTATAAACTATAGTATATAAACAGCTGGATAAAAAATATTTATAAAAATAATAAAACTTTTGTAAACCACTTTGGAAAATTTTTAAAGAGCTTTTATGCATATTTTACTAACTCGGTAACGTATGGAAATTAATTGGTTGATTATCCTTAAAAACATACATGAATGAATATATACATTCATAAAAATGTATATAATATTTGTACAATGATCGAGAAGTTGAAAAACCAAAAATTTGCAATGCTTCTTTGTCTATCTCTGGGTGTAATGATGTATAAAATAGAATATATGATTATAAATGTTGAGTCGTTTTTCGAGAACGCATGAAAAATAGTATTGAAAAGTAATTACAACATAAAGCCAAAAGTTACGATATTTAACTGTTTATTAAATAAATGTCTATTTTTAATATTTTTGTATAAATCATAACATGTGATAAAAACACGGTTAAAGAGAAAAAAGATTTTTTTATTAAAAATACGCTCAAGCATTTAACATTCGCCATGCATTCCAGCTTAAACTGGAAATGTATATTTATCATTTTTAGCGTAAAATACCCTATTCACGACACGTCGTATTATCACAAAGAGTAACACTAATAAGTACACAAGCAAAAGGGAGATGAGTAAAATTTACGGTTTATAGAGCATATTTTTGTTTTGAAATTTGTAGGGTAAATTCATGGCTGCTAAGACATTTCAGCATGTGTAAATTTTAAAATACGTACAACCGGAGTAACGAATTTACTAAAAATATGCGAATACAGTTTGACCAGACAAAACTAACATTGTTTGTCTTTTTCTGCAACACTAATTTTTCTTCAATTACTCGATAAACCATTATCTAGACATTACAAACTATTTAAATACGGAAATTATTTTAGTTGCAGTAGCATTTTGCTTGAGAGTAAAAACTAATTATCCTGTGCTAAGGTAAATCTATATTCATGACAGCATAACACACAAAGCATTTATCAGGAGCATATGATTTTGATTCGGGCCAATCCTCAAAACCAGATCCTAGATCTCAATTAATTTATTCTAAACTCGTGAATTTTTCCGCTGAAAAAAAATGTTTATTTCAAATTTTTCAAATTTCTCTCGGTGTGTACAGACATACGTGTATGCCAATTAATGCTTATATGTTTTTGCTTGTATGGCACATTTAGTGAATAGGGCTAACTGCGTTTTTATATTTTACACAGAAGAGGGTAAAGGCTGATATCGAAAACAATGGAGTAAAAACTTTGATAATTATTTTTTACAATGTAGGAGTTCATTTTCTTATTAATTTGTCACAACTTGGTCATCGCGGTACAATGATTGTCAATCAGTTAACGAACAGTTATGAGAATATTTTTACTGTTAAATTTTAGGGCTGTTTCGATATCATCCTAACAGTCGATTAGAATTCATATTTTCTACTATCGAAGTATTTGTCTCGTCATTGAATTTTCCTTGCATTTTCCAAAAAAAAAAAGCAGTCAATGGACCGCATTTAAATAAAAAAAAACTACATTTCTAAGAAATCGATCAAGTAGTAATCCAACGATTCAAAGACGTATACTCTAATATCGTGAACTTTAAAGAAAACATTTGATAGTATTTATATAAATATAAGTATATATAATATTCTTCACGGTTACTTGGGTTTTCCTAGTCATAGGTCTGTCCTCCTATGATAATAAATGTTGTAAAAGGATACGATACGATGGATATTTGTATAATAAGCGATCGTGTAAATATAAAACAAAGTCTGCTAAATTTATGTATTTATTGCGCGCGTGAATTGTTGAGCATTCCAGCGTTTGTGCCACGTAATATATAATATATTAGCTTCAGGTACCTACAAAGTATATCCATGCTTCCAATATTTAGCTGATAAATTGCGAAATGCTCGGGAACAAATTTACTTTTTATTTTATTTTTTTTTTTTTAGGATTACTGGATAGATTTGTTCTCCTTAATAACGTGTATCCGATTATATTGAGAATAAAATTGTACGAATTAAAAAATAAAACCATCGAACTCCCGTTGAGGGATCTTCCTTTTTTTATAAACAGTGCAATCTAGGGGTATTGGGTATCTCATAATGTTTGGACAGCTTTTATTAAAATAAATATTAATACAGGGATGTGTATTGCATTGACGACGTACGCGTACAGATGTAGAAATAAAATGTTANTTGCTCTTCATATTTTCCAAAGAAAAAGCCTATACCTACAGAATACGCGAACCGTATCGTCAGTTATCGCGCGCCGTTGCGCGCAATTTAGTTTGATTGCTCGTCGTAGGTACCAATGTACGTGTATGTATATGTATACGCTCTCTCTTCGTTGATGGCTCTTATACCTATACATACATATGTTGTAGTTTCACGCACCACCCAGAGGAAGAGAGTGTGAGGTAATGGGGCGTGGCAGCCAACTATAGCTGATGCACATCTGTATCTCTCGTGGCTTGTTCGAATGTTGTTGTACGTGTACTAGACACTGCAGTGTGTGTGTATTTTGCTACATACATGGGAAAAGAAAAATAAATAAAAAAAACTTCAGCATCGTATGAGGTTTGATTTTTTTTAAACCGAAAACTACTTACAGAATTTTCTTTTTCCTCTATACACGCGAGTGTGTATGAGGTGCACGTGCACGTCGTCTATTTTGAGAAAGTGACGAAAAAGTTAAATTTATATAGATTTAATGAAGATAAACCCTTGATTACTCATGATAGAAACAAGAGGACTAGAAAGTTGGGATTTTACATGAATTGCTTTGTAAAACCATTGTTATATCTAAGCTGCATTGAAGGCTCAAGGTGTTTAGAAAAGAAATTTTATTTTTTCATTGATTTGGCTAATTCAAATTGTTGTTGTTGTTGTTTTTTTTTTTTTTTTTTTTTTTTTTTTTAATTTTTGATGACGAATGATAAAAATAATAAATTTATGTAACCGTTCGTTAGTGGATTCGAGGCGTGACTATTGAAAATATTTTAATGCGTGATTCCCTTGCTTGATTTTAACTATTATTATTCTTTCTGGATTTCTTTTGTAACAAATTAAAAAGTAATTTCATCAATTGTGATACTATGTTTAGTGCAACGATGAAATATACGTATTAAAAAAGATGAAATTTTGCATGTATATATAGGAACAAAAGAGATGTGCGATCGTTAGATACATATTACAAGCTGATTAATGCACGATTGATGAATCATCAATAAGAAACACAAAAGCAACGAATGCCGTAGCATGTCGGATGTTGACGTGGAAGACCGACCAACGAAATCGTACAAAAGTTTCGATATTTACAGAAAAGGAGTGTCGTCTGTTATTATTATTTTTTGTATTCCTTCCATCTCTCGATGCGCGCACACAAAGAGTTTTACAATCAACACCAATAAAACGCATACAACATCACAATTTATTACAGTGCATCAACAGAACAGAAGAAAAAAATTGGAAAAACAGAGCCGATTACGCGAAAGAAGCCAGGGATTTTTTTTTTCCTTCAAATTCTCTTTTCGTTCAACATAGATGTACAGTGAAAAAGTAAGTTACACAAGGTTATACGATTGACGATATATAAGAGTTTTTATTATGTGTAAATAGGTATAATGTAGTATTTTAATTTGATATATCGTTAAAAAAACGCAAGTGCTCGACACTTTTGACTTTATACGCAAAATCGCCGATCGTTGCCTCTTCCTTTTTAGAGACGCACTTTTCTTTTTTTTTTTTTTTTTTTTTTTTTTTTTTTTTTTTTTTTTTTTTTTTTTTTTTTTTT